GCAGACGCCATTCGTTTGCAGTCAGAGTGTGCAACACATGAAACTCTCTACCGTCTCACGTGGTTTGTGCGCCAACATTATCATCTTTCAAGCGTCAGTTTGATGATGCTTTGGCAAACATTGTTTCAACACCCAACTACATAATATATTCTCCAGTGCTCGTTACAAACATAACAATACTCTTTTATGTACACGGACTAACCGTGACCTTGTGAATCGTGTTCCGAACAGAAAATGTAAACACCCTATGGGTCTTTGTAGGTTTTTTCCCATAATAAAAATTTAAAGTTGAAATGTGAGACATTAAACAACAGTACTTTTTTCAAATTGCTAGTAAGTTATCATAATCGCAAAACGAGATACAGTCAAACCAACTTCACTGATAGCTGTGATTAGGTGCTCCATGACTGCGTGCATCCCAACTGGCTCTCCTTGAATTAAGCCATAAGTGACTGAAGATTATTCTTAATCAATATCATTATCGTCACTTAGAGGAAAGCAGTGTAGGTTTGTGATCAACACTGTAGGGAAATCACAAACGAGGCATTCACGAAACGCGACATTACAGTGTTTTGATTAGCTAAAAGCAAGCTAGGATAATCGAAAGAATTATCAAAACCTTTCAATAAACATGAGCTCAAACGTTACACAAACTACCACAGCGAACAACCACTCTTCGGTTTTCCAGAACGGTGACACCGTCTGTAAGCTGCACTACGCAGTTCATCACATACTGAAACTGTTTTAAGTAGTAAAAAACGAAATACGAGTAAAACCAAACAACGATTGGCTCTACACCCCATGAGGAGAAAAAGACCAAGGTTGATAAAGTCGGCTACTACCGATGGGTATTGATTAGGTAGACTTAAAAGGCCTGGCAACAAGAATAATTATTATTACTAATAATAATAATAATGCATCACGAAATCTGTTTGGTAAGAAGAAGGGTAAAAGATGAAAATCGGTCAAAAATCGTAGGAACACTGACCTCCGTCTACGAATCCGATTCCTTCCGCAGCCTGAGCAATGAGCTGATCAGGGACCAGTTCTTTAAGATCGGCACGGGCTGCCTGCCTTGCTAGTTTCTTTCGTTTACGAATTACGGCCAACTGTCTTTTACTCGGTTTGGTCAACTGACTCAATTCTTTTGGATACCTACAAAAAAAAATAGGGAAATTAAAGGATTAAGTTTATCAATCGGGGGTTTTTCGATTTGTGGAGAGTGGCACTTTTGGTGGCCTTGAAGTAACTCACTTTAAAAGGAACGTCAACAAACAAATATATTGATTCAATGAGGTTTCCTGCTAAGAGAATAACACGTAGGTAGTATCATCGATAGCAATCCCACTACTTCTGTAACAAAAGTACTTAATTTTTCCCCAAACCTCACAGTGGATATGATTAAAGAAATAGTTTGATCCTCATGCAAGGATATTGGTGTCAATGTGTACCCAAGCGACAAAATTTCCAATCTATAGTTCTGGGTTCAGCGAACATCCCGGTAAGTTGCAGGCTTTTTTTAAGGGATATAAACATTCATGTAGCAAAGATAGGTGTTAGTTTTTCCCTTTAAAAGTGCTAAATGCTACGATGGGATTAGGTTAGAGTCACCCCTAATTTTTATTCTGATTAGGGAGGCAACAGAGAAAGTTGACAAGCGTGGCTACCTAAACAACTACATCTCATTCGGTGGACGAACCTCTAGTGAAGTTTTGACACAAACAGAAGACTCAATTGGTGCTTTCCAAACCTGCANTTAGGGCCGAGTGCATCCAACAGTGGTCCGATCGGTCCTAGTTTACAGTGCAGAAACATCACCAGTACAAGTGGAAGATGACCGTCCACTATGGGTGTTCGAGCACCTCTTTAGGCGGTATTGCTTGCATCTCTCGGAAAAACCGAACAGTTACGGTTGCTCAATTAAAAAGGTGCTCCACCTACAGAGATTGTGATCGCTAGAGCATGTGTATGTGAGCATGAGTAAGCTGACGACATTGATTTTCTGCTCGAAAGTATGGAGCACGTGTAAGGCGCCTTAGCAAAGGATCTATTTCCGCAAATTCATTTGATATAGGCTTTGCACCTTCGAAGTGCACAAACTGAGTTTAATCTAACTCAACTCTGATGCCTGACGGTCAAGAATAAGCCTTCGTGGATTGCTTTTCCTACTTAGGCAGCTGTGTGACAAATGACGGTATCCTAGAAAAGGAAGTAACCACTCATATTTCCAAGGCACGGGAGGCATACG